TTATTGCATTGACCAAAATTTAATAGTTATAATTTCTTTCGCTGAAGCACGTACCGTCGCCGATCTTGTAACGCGTTTTACGGGAATATCGCTTTCCACTGTGTTTTTTTCCACCAAAGGACGCTTTTGACTCCATTTATAGTATCCTTTCCGAATCCTAGCTGTATTACAAATATTTCTGACCGAAATTGTCCCAAACTTTCCTGAAGACAAGCGATTATTAAATCTAAAAGACATTTTGTTTTGAAAACTTTTCGCACTTGAACTTTAAATTTCCCGCGCGATCCACGAAACGTGCGTGGCTTTTGCGTGGACCTGTAACGCGATGACGTCAACACTTTGTCAAGATTATAGTTTCCAGTCTTTTTATAAAATAACTGTAGGGAGCCACCTTAAATACATCATAAAAATGCGAATTATCGTACTTTTTGTGAAATTTGAATGTTAAACTTTTGTTCCGTTAGTTATATATTTAAAAAACGATTCTTGTTTAAACACGTTAAAATACAGGTAAATCGGTAAAATACATCGTGAAATGGTGATTATCGTACTTTTTGTGAATGTCAGATAATCAAATGAGACAGTCCTAGTTATAAGGTGGCACTGGTAGCAATTAATTTTTTCCTGGGTGATAACACCAAATTATTTGAAGGTTTCTGTTCAGTTGGCGGATTTTGATTGGCTCCATGGTTTTGTCATTTTATTTAGAGAAAAATTCAGTTTTATCATAAACTCTAAAAACAAATTGATAAGCCATCAATTTGATTTCTCAGATTCAGAATGCAAGAACTTGAGGCGACCAATTTACAGGTTCTTTCTAACAGATTTCTTTTTACAATGTAGGGTTAATTTAGGATTATATCCAGGTCTAATGTTAGGATTAGGTTTAAGGTCCGATTTATCATTGATTTAGTTTTGGGATTAGGTTTAGCATCAAGATTAAGTCTAGAATATAGAAATAGGATTAGTTATATAGGATTGGGTTTAATATTATGTTTAGCTATTACGTTCATCAACTCTCAGCAACGCAGTATTGATCGTCTACTACACAGGACAGAGCAGCTACTATCATACAGTTATTTTATATGTGCCTAACAATACTTGACGTAAAATTTCCGTGGTGTGAAACAGATCAAGTTTCATTGCATAGTATACAAACGAAAAAGTGTAAATTATTTATCTGAAGTCTGTGTCACTTATAGAACAATTGACCATTTCTCCGATTTGCGGTCAAATGCCCACAGACAATTGCCTGAGAACGAGACTTCGTGTAAAGTTGTAATGTTTATAGAACAAATTTAGCACGAAGCTTCGACTTGATGTTATTTTTCTTGAGAACTGTAGAGCGTAGTCCGGAAATGGCCTGTTTACTCCATCAGGTAACGTGAGTAATTGTACAGTATAAGTGCTGTTTTTTGTTTAGAGTGTTTTAAATTGTGTCGAAATTCAATTATTATACAGAAGTAAAAATAAAAGGATCTATTTTTTTATCTGGATACATGCAAAATCGGTATATGCTAAAAAGTCTTCTTCAATCTTCAGCCCATGATAACTGCTAAATTAAAACTTTACTTTCTTTACTACTTTAGCGACGCTGCACAGACGAGCAAGATTTCTATTTTGTCAATTTTTTCTTTCCCATGCGTTTGTAATAGAAAAAATTGGCGAAGTTGCCTATGCAGACGAGCAAAGAAAACATGTTTATCTGCAACTTGTTTTATACCCCTTTCTAGTATGTACATATCCTAAGTAGTCAGGGATTTTGCTAAAGCTAAAGCGATTTGTGCAGTGAAAAATAACTGATAAGCTACAGAGCTGACCAGTCCACTAGTATATGATATAGAAAACAAGTAAACATTGCTAAATGATATATATGGGAAGCAAGTAAACATGGGCAAATAATATGGCAAACAAGTAAGTCCAACAATATTGTGGTCAATTTGATTTTTAAGCATTACAGTAGTTTTCTTTCACTATTGTAATCTCTCTATAACCCCCCCCCCCCCCCCCCCCCCCCCCCGCCCCCATCTATAATAAGCCTCTCTTAGTCCGTCTGGAAATTTATCCGGCCCTCTGTCTTTTTCTCCTCCTCGTATTAAACCCTTCTCTTCATTCAAAAACACATGTCTTTTGATTAGATTTACGTATATTAAATATATGCCCCCTGGGGAGGCTTTACCTGTAGAGACCTCCTATTCGCTGCCGCACAGAAAGCCGCTTATATCGGAGCATACTCGGACAGTGACGGAGACCCTTCGTGCCGAATGTTAGATTAGAACGTGGTGATTTCTTCATTGGGTTTCTGGACCTTGCTTTAATGCTTTAATGAAATACTCCTAAAACAGTATTATACTACACTAGGAGGAGTTATATATACTGAAAAACTAGATAATATTTATATTTATTTACAAGAAAGTCTTCATAATCACTGTATGACACGTATATTAGGCGGTGATTAGAATGATGTTGTTATATGCTATTAACAATAACAATGGCAAAAACGACAACGACAACAACTACAACAACAACACTAAGACTACAAAACGAACATATAGTACAATACAAACGATTCAGAACGATATTAATTCGCTACATTAAGTGACTTAATTGAAGGCATGGCAAGTGTTTTGAAACTTGGGGTTGATTGGCAAAGATTGTTAAATGGATGTGATTCCAGGTAACGATTGTTCTTGGATAAAATGAAAACTTATATACATTGACACACGACAGAATTTGGCGGTGATATTAGGCAGCCTGGATGCTCTAATCAAGGGACACACGTCATCAAGAAGATTGATTCCAACAAGGCGTTGATGGATCTTGTAGAACATAGTGGCTTGGTGTAGCAGTCGCCGTTGTTGGAGATTGTGCCACCCCAGGTGGTCGATCATTGGAGAGACGTGGCTAGCTCTGGAATAGTCATTGAAGACAAATCTAGCAGCTCTGCGTGGAACCATTTCGATCTTGTTGATGTTCCTCTTGGTGTAAGGGTTGCAGACTGTAGAAGCATACTCAAGTTGTGGACGGACAAGACTAGTATACGCCCTTGACTTAACAGCAGCGCTACATTCACCAAGGATTCTTCTAAGTAAGCCAAGAGTGCTATTTGCCTTACTACACATGATGTCACAATGATTGTTCCAGTTCATGTTGTGGTTTATAGTAATGCCCAGGTATTTGATAGAAGATACTCTGCTAATTGTTTGATTATTCATCATATAACTATATGTTTCAGGGACGCGTTTATTTGTAATTCCTAGGTGGTACCATTTTGAGAAATTGAAATTTAGTTGCCACTTGTTAGCCCAATTATTTAGATTGTCTAAATCCTCTTGTAACGCGAGGTGGTCCTGATCGTTCTTAATTTCTCTATAAATGATTCCATCGTCAGCAAACAAGCGAATTTGGGATTTAATATTCTCAGAAATATCGTTTATATAGAGAAGAAATAAGACAGGTGCGAGAATTGTTCCTTGAGGTACTCCAGATATGACAGGTTTAGGATGAGAGTGGGAGCCATTAACCGAGACAACTTGAGAGCGGTTGGAAAGAAAAGCCTTGATCCAATTGGCGGAAAGTCCTCTAATACCATATTGGTCTAATTTGGACATTATGCAGACGAAGATGGGGAACAGAATCAAAGGCTTTACTGAATCACATCGGTTTCTTTCTTCTGGTTGATACTTTTTGCCCAATCGTTGATTGCCGTAATTAGTTGAGTCTCACAGGAAAATAGTTTGCAAAATCCGTGCTGTTCATTAATTAGAATATCATGATATGCTAAGTGCTTTGAAACATGGCTAAGAATGATATGTTCCATGACTTTGCAACACAGACACGTCAGAGAGATTGGACGGTAGTTGGCTGGGTTGGATTTTAAGTCCTTTTTAAAAACAGCAGAAACAAGGACCTTTGACCAGTACACCAGGTGGAAGTGTACCAGAATCATAGGATTGTTGGAAAATGAAACAAAGCCAGTGCGAAATTGATGGAGATAGTTCTTTAAGGATTCTAGCTGGGATTTCATCAGGACCACAGGCCTTACTGGGGTTAAGTTCAGATAGTTACTTGGCTACACCTTGGGAGTTGATTATCAAATCTGAGATGGAGGTGTATGGAGATTGACCTTTATGTACTGTTTAATAAACGAGCAGGAGTGTTTTATTAGGTTTAAAGCCACGAGCGCGCAGCGCGAGTGGCTTTAGACCTAATAAAACACGATCTGCGAGTTTATTGAACGGCTTCAAAAACGTTTGCATAATAAGTCAAATCTTTATATAAAAATCTTTATATAAAAATCTGTATATAAAAATCTTTATATAAAAATCTTCATATAGTTTGCATAACAATGGTCTTTTGTTAAAGTGTTCTTTAGCTGGTATAAAGACGTATGCACGTGACTAATTTCTTACTCAAGATTGGATAATTGCTTCATGAATTATTAATGAGTTTTTGAAGTATAGTTAGTGTTAGTTTTCCTCTAGCTTTTTTGTACCAAACTATTACTTCATAAATTCTTTTTCATTCTTCTTTTTGTCTTTTGAGAAAGGTTTAGTTTATTTTTCTCCGTACATAAACTGAGTTTGTAGTTAATACAACGAAATAACCATGCCTAGCGTGAAGACGCGGCATTGCAATTATTCCACTATTTGCTGTTTAGTTCTTATCGTTTATACTGTAATCGCCTTCTAAAGTTATTATAATAGTAAGTAATACAGTTAATGTTCGTGGGTATAAATATGTTTTTGGCCCTGCTCAGAACTAATTTTAACGAACTTTGTTTTTGGCCCTGCTCAGAACTCATTTTAGCTCGAGCTAAAATTGAGTTCGAGTCAGGTCAAAAACATTTTTATGCCCGCGAACATCAACTTTGTTTTTTTCTGTGTTGGTGTAATGTATTCAGGTAAATATGTGCTTGTGATGTTACTCTGAGTGTATATCCACACCGGGCAGACTTGAAAAATATGCCTGGCCACGGTGGGAATCGAACCTACGACCTTTGGAATGCTAGCCCAATGCTCTGTCAACTGAGCTACGCGGTCAGGTCGGTTCGAGTACTGCATTGATATATCGAAGGAACTAGACTCAGTTCCGAAATATCACATGCTCGAACCGACCTGACCGCGTAGCTCAGTTGGCAAAGCTTTGGGCTAGTATTCCAAAGGTCGTAGGTTCGATTCCCACCGTGGCCAGGCATAATTTTCAAGTTTGCCCGGTGTGGATACACACTCAGAGTAACATCACAAGCATAAACTTTGTTGTTATATCAATTAGGTGTCCGTAGTGACGGCGACGACTTTAATTTTCAGTAAGTTTCGCAAAAAAGTGACGAATCTCCTATACTCGTACTCGCCGCTGCTACAACTCTCTATTATCACAATTTTAAGTGTTGAGAGACACTTCTAAAATCGTAAAATTTGATGTCGATTGTCGTGACCTCGGTCATGATAACCTAATCCGATATCGTGTAACTGGAGCCTAACATAAACATATAATAAAACGATGATACGAAGATACCTGGTTTTCAAACTGTCTGGCTAAATGATAACTTGCCGCCCTATCTCCTGTCTCGTTGCAAATTTCAGCTGCCTAGAATGGAAAATAAACACCTTTAAGAAATTAAGTACGTCCACACCTTGACAAATTACAACAATTTAAACAGTCGTTATATCAATTTCATAAAGGTCCGTTCAAATGACGCCAATATGTTGGTCCAACGTCCCCCATTGTTGGTCTCGTTTTGAACACTAAATAGATATGTTATTTACCGGCTGGGAGGTCCTTACTGAAAAAAAATATTTTCGGGAAAAAAATATTTCCGACGCTCATCGGTTAACCAATGAAAAGGCTCACATAAATTTAGACCAATCACAAACAGAGTTCAAATATTGAACTCACCAAAGTGAGGCTGGATGCTCATGTGACCAGAGCCTCTTCGTCGTGTCCTCACTTCTATCACAAGAGACTCTGGCACCCAGGGTAGTACACCATCAGCCCCCGTTGCTTTCGACTGATTAAGATGGTTGAGGGCATACTTAATCCGGTAAATGGTATATAATATTTTTTTTGTTTTCGGACTCACTCGTGCAAGGTCCCCCCCCCCAATTATACTCGAGACTATAGCAGTAATACTTATTCATTTTTGAATATGAGCTAGATTTGGTTAGTGCAATAAATAGAAGAGTACGATGAAAACCAAGTTACCTTCTCGATATTTCCACAAAAGCAATAAACTCTGACAAGAGATAAGATGTCATTGGCAGCTTCGTAATATTTCAACGCCACATCCATTTCACTGTTGCTCTCCATATACTGAGCCCACCATTTACGAAGCGATCTGAAGAACATTTCATGGAACGTATTGAACGAAAAAATTTAATGACTAGTGCAACCAACTGCAATTGACCGCGAGTTGTGCAAAAATTAAACATTTGTTCATTGTTTCAATGTTACTAGGGACGAACTTCATTGTTGATAAGGTAAAACCTCCTTAGCCCCCTAGTAACGTCAACGTTCATCCAATAAATATCCATGAAACTTTTTAAAGTGTTTAGATTTTAAGCAGTATAC